GCCCGGTTTCGTGTCTTCTCCTTCTGGGCCTCTCTCGGCGTCAGGCTCCTCAGCCTCACCTCCTGACTCACGTGGGTGATCCAGGTAGACCTTGGTGGGAGGAGGTGTTCCGCCAAATATCGAGGTCCTAAGCCATTTAGGGCCTTATAAGTAAGCATTAAAACTTTGAAGTTGACACGGAAACAGATGGGCAGCCAATGCAATGCGGCCAGCGTTGGAGAGATGTGTTGATATTTTCTCACTCCTGTAAGGAGCCTGGCTGCCTTATAAAGAAGAGGAGCTCAGCCTTAATTACAGTGCCTATATACTCCCCCATGCAAAAACAGCACCAGACAGTTGGGAAGCAGTGCAGGAGGTAAGTAGAGAGCAAATCATTGTCAGGGCAGCCCTATGAGGTGGACAAGAGGTGCACATAACTAGGGATGTCTTTCCATCTCTTGCCTAAAGCTGGTTTGTCAATGTACCATTAACAACCTCTAATAAAATGCCAGGATCCCATGGACCACACATAATGTACTAGCAGGTTTTTAGCAGCAGATTGTCAACCTCGGGTTTTTTTTCCTAATTACTCTTTAAAAATCCCCAAAGCAGGCGGGGGACTTCACCCAAATGTTATTCTATCAAGCCAAGCAATGCATTTTCTGGCTGATTCCTCTGTGAAAAGGTGACGGAGTTCATTGGTCATTCAAATGCCAACGGAGATCTCATTAGACTTTGTAAACTCTTCCTAGGGAGGCCCTAGATTGAGCTTCTAGCAGGCAGAAGGTGCTGATTTACTAAAATAAAGTCCATGTAATTTAGGCATTCTGAAAGTTATTCTCCCCTTTCCCCCCCTTTTACCATGAATGCCTGCCAGTTTCAGTTTATCTTTGACTACACTATAAATCATTACAGAAGGTTGACCCGAGAGATGCCAAGCATGCCACAAAAACAAACTCCAAGCACATGGGTCGGCTCGTTTATCAGTGGATTAGCATTAGTCACATGTCCTGGTTTTCCAGAAATTATTCTAATGTTATGTTAGCAGACACTGACCTGATCTGGAAAACAGAAAACCAAAAATTCAGCTTTGTGTGAAGCACACCTACAACATGCCCTCAAACATTTCCTGCTTTTTTCTTTTTTAAAAAATGTACTTTTTGGGTCTCATTACAGGAACTCTTGTTTGTTTGTTTGTTTGTTTGGGGAATTCTGGAAGTTGTAGTCTGAAAAAGTAACTTTATCAAGATATGATGGGATGTTAGTTGTTTTCTCTTCCCCCCTCAACTAGTTGGAACAGATTTTCAGTGATGGTGCAGGCATTCTTGGGGCTTAGCATCCTTTCCCTAGTTTACTCGCTGGCTTATCCATCTTGCTGAACTGATATGGGGATTTACACAGACACGCTTATCTGCTTATCACAGAAGCAGGTAGCCAAGACATGCACATGCAAAGAGAGGGAAAGGTCCTGAAACAGAGCCTGCACTCCAAAAGCTGTCTAAACAAAGATCACCAGAAAACAACTTACCTAGCTTAAACTCAAGCTTGCTGCATAAACATAAATAAATGCCATCAAAAGCCTTGCCGGCTGACAGTCAGTGATAACAATAAAAGTCACTTCTCAGCATCTGCAGATTAAGCTCGCTCAAGCCTTTGCAAGCCTCAAACTATGTAACTTAAAAAGTGTCAGATAATGAAGATGTGTGTGTGTGGGGGGGGAGGAATTCAGTGTGGAAGGGAACCTCTTTGGAGAAAGGGGTACATAATTAAATATGGACATGGTATGTTTACGGCAAGCTCAAAGGAATACCAGAGAAAAGACAGCTAGATACAAAAGGGAGTCAGGCATTACTGGGTCTGTCGTCTTGTAACAGTAGGGGAAAAACACATGTCCATGAAAAAAGTATTGCACCTGAAATCTGCATTCTCTACTCAGCTTTGCCTGAGAAAGAAGTTGTACAAAAATATACAGATGATCTTGCTGGACCAAAGGCCTATTTTGTCATATTCCCATGGTGACCAATCAGGTGCTTCTCAGAGGCTGTGATTTGATGTTATTAAACCCATCAGGTTTAGTAACATCACTCTGACTTCAAGCATCTCCAGTAGTTGGGTACTAAAGGAGGAGCTGATAGGCCAGGCTTCATGTTTCCTTGGATGTTGACACTTAACCCTCTTTATATGGCATCCAGGAGCCTGGATCCTTTCGACTGAGTCCTTTGCCATACGCACACCAATGAGGCAGGGTGTCCCACTGCTAATAATATTTTATTTACATCATTGCAGTTGCTATAGCCAATCTGGGAGTCTTAATCACAGCACTGATAAATAATATAAACAAATATGGATTGATAAATAAAATAAACAACATAATTGTGTGGCTGCCCTCAAGTGTTGCTTTCATATTATACCATATGTCATTGCCAGAATTTGGAAAATTGCTTTCAGAAAGTCACTTGCTGTGCAGCTCATTATAAAGCCCCCATTATGCCAAAAAAATAAAAAAAATGAAATGTTGCATTACTAGTTCCATTGCTGTTAATTTTTCACTATCTTTTTTTAAAAGAAAATATTTAAGACTGGCAAGAGAATAGCATAGAATTTGAATTCTGTTCGAATGTCTGTGAAAGTGCCAAAAAATGACTTTTCAAACAAAAAGGACAACCAGGAAACAGTGCTCCTTATATAGAAAGTAAAGTTGTTCTTATGTATTATTTTATTATTATAATGTAACTTTCTGTATTCTTACTATCCCCCAAAGTAATGGGTTACAAGTAACTTGCTGTTCCCAATACACTTTAAAAGGAATAATGTTATCCTTCTTTAAGTTAGTGGCTTAGTTGGGAAAAGGAATTAATGAGAAGCAACTCATTACTTGCAACTACCTTCTTCTAAAGTCCAAACTACATTTCACCCAGCTTTCACTAGAACCACATCCACTCCGAATGCCATGTATCCACCTCTCCATTTTAGGAGATCTCATAACACACATCTGAAGCAGCTATCAGCCTGGGTCTGCAAAGATGATGAGGGACAGTATGTTTCTTATAGCTTTCTAAAAACAAGCCTCGAGACATATAAATATATTTGCATGTTATTTGGACAAGCAGATTAACAACCTTTCTCTGTGGTCCATCCCCATCCAAGAGGTGGGGATGGACCACAGAGAAGATCCATCCTGTACGTCCCCAAAATTGCTTCTTTGACGGATAAGCTGATTGCTTTCCAAGAATAAGGACAACCATTTTTAATCAACATCACTTGCTACCATTTGAGAGCTCTGCTTTCCCAGCTATATGAGCGGTATACACTTACATTTCAGGAGTGATATATGCATCATCTGTAGCATCTGCAAACAAAGAAGCAAAAAAGATTGCATAAAATAAACAATGGGCCACCACCATGAGAAGTTAAATTTAGCTACACTCTTCAGTTTTGATGGACTGTAACACTCTGACTGTGGAACTAGCATATGGTCTCCATGACACCCGGAGCATGTTGACTCGCTTATGCTAACAGGGATTCTGTTGTGTAGGGAAGTACTGGCCGCCTCCTTACACCAGTTCCACAACTGAAGAACAGCAGGAGAGGTCAACAGAATTCCATCCGTAGCATTTAGATGGATCTAGATTTAATCATACTTAGAGAAGACCAGATGAAATCAAAGGACTCTAAGCTAGCTTTTTTTTACCATAGTCTCTCGAGACTGAAGCATGCCTACACACAAGCTAGCTTTGAGTAAAGCAAGTCCCACTGATTTCGATGGATCTACTCCAAATATGTCCAAGTGCAACCCATAGTGTCTAAGTGGATCTATTCCTTGTTATACTCAGAGGGCTCTCATATGACCCATGTTCTACAGGTCTTCTGTTGAATAACAAGGGCAAGGACTATCTGCAAAGACATCTCAGTAGTAATTTCATTGTATGCTTGAATGGAAACAAGGGGCGCTAAAACTAAAAGCTTGTGTCACCCAGTCAACATACTCTGAGGCCTGGTTTACAGATTGGCAAGTCCTGAGTTTCCTTTGCTTGTGGCCTGGCATCTTCGCAAGGGGGGCAGCAATTCAGTGTAAGAAAAAGGCCAGCTAGTAGGGAAGAGGCTGGCTGAGTATGGATGGGCACAGCCTTCCCTAGCAGACTAGAAAGTACAGGTTTCCACTCTGACCGGCCAGGGAAGTATGAAAGGAAGACCAGGCTGCACCTCTTGGAGTCTGCTGCTCATCTTCACCTATCCTCCCTTTTCAGGTAGGCAATTGTAGTTGGTTGTGCACTGCTAGGGAGACGGTGGGGGAATGGTAACGCTTGTCATTATAGGTTTTTTTTTAATTCTGTCACAGCTTCACTAGTTGCAGGAAAGGTGGCAGTTTTGTGTATTGGAACAGATCCCTTGTAAGGGGGATGATACCAGTCTGATGGCAGAAAGTGAGGAGGAATTAAATGAGAGTGAAAGAGGAGAGTGCAAAAAATGGTCTGAAGCTCAACATAAAAAAAAACTAGGATCATGGCCACTGCTCCCATCACCTCCTGAGCAAATAGAAGGGGAAGATATGGAGGCAGTGACAGAGTTTACCTTCTTGGGCTCCATGATCACCGCAGATGGGGACAGCAGCCCCGAAATTAAAATACACCTGCTTCTTGGGAGGAAAGCAATGACAAACCATGACAGCATCTTAAAAAGCACCTTGCCAACAAAGGTCCGCATCGGCAAAGTGATGGTTTTTCCAGCAGTGATTTATAAAAGTGAGAGCTGGACTTATGGACTGCAAGGAGATCAAAAATATCCGTTCTAAAGGAAATCAACCCTAAGTGTTCACTGGAAGGACAGATGCTGAAGCTGAGGCTCTAATACTTTCCCAACACCAGGATCTTTTCCAGGAGACCCCTTACGGCAGGGAGCAAAAAGTGAGGAACTGATGTTGGCATGCTTGGCTCAGGAGGGCTGCCACAGTCCCATGAAATAGGTGGCAGTGGTTTCCCCCCTCCCCAGCAATCTTGCACCTGGGAGATGTACAGTACACATCTGATGTAGTATAGATGTAGATATACCTACATCTAGTCAATCACCCTCAACTGCCCAGTGTGGGGCTGGAAGGTTGGCATCAGCTGCCAGGCAGGCCACTTGATGCTGGGATTCTTTCTGTATGCTGTGCCGATGCTGTTCTTCTGCAACCAGTCCAACCTATGGCCTTGTATTATACATATATCATTCATTCTTCACTAAAGCTGTTAAACTGTATATTAGTCTGAAGAAGTATAATTTGTCCACAGATGTTCACATGAAAATATAGCTGTTAGTCTTTAAGATGCCACAGCTATTCTGTCTTCTGTATTTTTTCTTTTGGCTTTGCCTGATATACTAGCACAGACTAACACAGCTGCCTCTTCTAAAACTACAACTGTATGTTGGGGGGCTAGCACAAAGTTAATCTTTCCCGGGTCCACAAAATATGTGCTGACGTGTGAAAGCTTCAAGACCTAGTGTCTTTGTAAAGGATCACAACAGAGAGAAGGATTACAGAGTAAAGGACTCTCCAAAATCATATGCAGCTCCAGAGTTTCATGTATGGAAGTGAGAGCTGGACTTATGGACTGCAAGGAGATCAAAAATATCCATTCTGAAGGAAATCAACCCTGAGTGTTCACTGGAAGGACAGATGCTGAAGCTGAGGCTCTAATACTTTCCCAACATCAGGATCTTTTCCAGGGAGTCTCCTCTTCTCATGAGATGGCCAAAGTAGTGGAGCCTCAGCTTCAGCATCGGTCCTTCCAGTGAACACTCAGGGTTGATTTGTTTCAAAATGGATAGGTTTGTTCTCTTTGCAGTCCAGGGGACTCTCAAGAGTCTCCTCCAGTACCACAAGTCAAAAGCATCCATTCTTCAGCGGTCAGCTTTCTTTATGGTCCAGCTCTGAATTCCATGCATCACTACAGGAAAAACCATAGCTTTGACTTATATGGACTTTTGTTGGCAAGGTAACGTCTCTGCTTTTTAAGATGCTGTCCAGGTTTGTCATTTCCTCCCAAGAAGCAGGAGTCTTTTAATTTTGTGGCTGCTGTCACCATCTGCAATGATAATGGAGCCCAAGAAATTACAGTGGTACCTCGACCTACGAACGTCCCTACTTACAGACCTAAACCTATTTTATCTGGAAGGGTGTATGTATATGTACCAGGAACAACATTTACATCGGCTTCTGGAGGGGTCCAAACATCACACAATTCTGGCTAAAATGGCAAAGTGATCAGAACATCTTCATGACGTTCCCATTTCCCAGATGTGTTATGCTTCAGTTTGAACCTGCATCTCTTTATTCTTCCTAATTTATTGTTGTGCATTCTACAACTTGTTTACTGCCCCTAACCCAGACCATAGTTTCAAATCTATGAAAAACCAAAACTGATGAGCCAAATGCCTTACCTGGAAGGTTCCGACAGAAAGGACTAAGATCTACCTTGGGAGGCCTTGCTGGTTTCTTTGGTGGAGGACCAAGTGATACAATGGACGGAAGTGGCTTAGTTTTTGGAAGCTTGAGTTCTTCAGCATCATTTTGCCTTTCTGTATCAGAATTAAGAAAAGGCTGTAATGTTGTGAAGGTTGTAAGGGAACAAGCAATTGTATTTTGGAATATTGTAAAGCTGAGCCCCTGAACATCATAGAGAATATAATGTTCCTCTGTACTTGGTAGATTCATGTGCCCATATTTTTAGATTATATGTTCACATATTAGCTACGTAGTTAGTCTCAAGTTTGCCCTGGATGGTGACAATGATGATGCACCAGCAAGTCAATTCTGACTTAGGTGACCCTTTCCAAGATTTTCTAGGAAAGAAAGAATACTCAGAGGTGTTTTACCATTTCCCCTTTCTGGGGGTGCCCAGAGACTGTGCAATTTGCCCACGGCTACACAGGCTGGCCCTTCTCCTTGGATGCACAGTGAACTCTCAATCTCTGGCTCCAGCCACATACCCAACCCACTGAGCTACTGAGCCAGACCTGTCCCATATACAACCAATTTTAGAAGTAGTGCCCACTCCTAACATAAATTGTACCCTGCATGTCAGAACAGAGCATTCACCATATTAATTTATAAAACTCTAGTGAATGAAGGGAGAATTCAACCTACCATGAAAGGGAATCTTAGATATGTGCCTGAAGCTTTTCATGGCATGTTTGGCAAAGATGGCATAAGCCTGTAGGCAAGCAAAACTGTGGTTTGTGTCATTTGCTCTCCTGTAAGTCACCAAAGCAGCAGGAATTAGTTAACTGAATGTTGGGGCACTCTTGTGTTCCAGCTGGCTCTACATGCTAAAGCCACCAGAAAAGGAAACGGGTATGCACTGGCAAATAGGTTTTCTACCATTGTTCTGTTACACAGCAACATTTCAGACTAGGCTTATTAAAAATGGGAAAAGGCACAACACTTGAAAGGTCCATAGAAAGGCTAGCCAAGACAATATCCTGGAATATGCACACCGATGGATTCTTATCTTATTTGTCACCTGCATTTCACTGTAAGTTGGCAAAATTGCAGGTCGATGTTAAGTTCCTGTAAAAGCAGACTTTTCCCCCACCACCCCAGCATGAAAAACAACAACAAAATCAGCCTATTTTCTTTCTTTTCTTTCTTTTTTTTTTTTTTTTTGGCATCTGTCCCAGAATTTGTGAAGAAGGCATGCCAAACTAGAAGCTTCTTGGTTGCAGATTTCTTCTTTTGATTCTCAAAGGGCAAAGCAGGATTAGTTTCAACCACAACGTCCGAGTACCCTGTGCTAATGTGCGGAGTTATAACATTTAAACTTCACAGTAACCATGACAGCAAACAAATCTATTACTATTTATGAAGAACGTACTTTGATTAGCAGTGAGGTGACTTCACTGCAGGGATTTAACCAAACACTAGCAAAAAAGAGAACACACTGAGCTTATTGTTATCTAGCGTACTATCCAGTCATTTCCAACTTATGGCAACCCTAATGAGGTTTTCAAGGTATGTGCAATATTCAGTGAGGGGTTTTACTGGTGCCATATCCCCCAAAGTGAGTTTCCATGGTTGAGAGGGGAACTGAACCGAAGCCTCCTGAGTTCTACTGTATCACTTTATCCACTATATCACAATGGATTTCAGCTGAACCAGTGTGGCTATGTTGGGGTTGCTTATGATTTCTTTGTTGCCTACCACTATTAGTCTCCAAGCCTATTTTCCCTCTTTCCATGGAGAGCCATGTGACTATATCACAATGGATTTCAGCTGAACCCGTGTGGCTATGTTGGGATTGCTTATGATTTCTTTGTTGCCAACCACTGTTAGTCTCCAAGCCTATTTTCCCTTGAGCATGCTGCCAAACAGATCCAGAAACTATGGGTTTAGCTATCCAGCTCAATTGGAGCAGACTGCAGCAGATTAAATAGGGCCACTTAAGGTTGCACAGAGATCCAGTATGCCACATGGCATGATTCTTGCATCCGTATAGAATACACACCTCAAACACCTCTATTTAACCTACTTTCCTCAATAAAACAACAAATCCCCCTCTTTGCTCCCTTCCTCTCTCCTCTTTTCTGGGAAAAAGTGTTTATTCCCCCCTGCCCCAAGGTATAGTGCAGAAGTGTGGTCTTAATAGGCTTTAAAAAAACCTTTTGCTTCCTTTCTCTGTTCCTCTATGGAAGAGCAGAAGAGGCTTTTAATTTCCCAGTATCAGGAAGTGCTTAAGCAACTTAACAATATTGGGAACTGAAGGAGGAAATGATATTTAAAGCAGCAAACTCCACTTTGGTTTGATCACAGCAACTGGACATGCTGGAAATGAACCAAAACAGAGCAATCCTCACACCTAAAAAAACCTGTAGCCCCTGATAGGGAACCAAGGAGGTGCAAATAGGAACATTCTAGGAACATGCTGGTTTCTGCCAGCACTTATGCTGTCTGGTTGCCAGCAAAAGAAGTGAACCAGCCCACACACACCCCAGTGGACCAAATAGTAGGACAAAGGCCCATGTTGTCACCCCCTATGCCAAACTGAGAGTTGGCATGATAAATTCCTGTTTATTCAAGAGAATGGGAGAGGGACACCAGCACCTCTCCTGCCCTGATGGACATCTATCAAAAAGTCTCTCAGAAAATGGCAGTTCCTCTGTCACAAACCTCCCACCATCACCACAAGATTCTTTTGATCATTCATTATAGCACAAAGCACAAGATTCCTTAGATCATTCATTATAGCACAAAGTCCCTCAGCTGTGTTCCAAATCTGCCTATTATGCAGTTCTGGGAATGCATACTGATTAAATCCAGCCTAACACCAAGCAACATCTTTATCATGCCCTACTTACTATGACAGCTGGCTGGATAGCTCAATGCTTTACGTATCTAACTGTGGAGACAGAGGTTGGGAGTTTGATTTCCCACTGCGTCCCCTAAGAGTAGAGCCAGCCTCTGTGGCCTTGGGCAAGCTGCACAATCCCAGGACACCCCCAGAAGAAGGGAATAGTACTTCTGAGTACTCTCAAACTAGAAAACTCTGGAATTGACTTGATAGCACATGATTATTATTATTACTCACTGTGAACCTTCTACACAATGGTAAATGAGGATGTACAATTGTCTGAAAAATCCATCTTCAAATATTTCCCCAAGTTTTTGTTTGTTTTGGAACAACACAGCTGAGCAACTAAGCTGGTTCATTTTTGCCTGCCTCACATCTTGAAAAAAAAAATCCCAACTTCCAAACAAAACAAGGTTGATACACATCTGAATACAGTTCATGCTCACTTCTGAAAATCTGGGAAGGATATTCAGGTCAACCACCTCTGCCTGAGGTCTGTTTCTTATCTCTCAGACAGTTCACCTATCATGTTCCATACCTATCTCACACACACACACACACACAAGGGGGGGGAACACCTATAGCTATTCTCTGTCTTCTTAGTTCAGTAGACATAGTTTTAAAAAGGCATTAAAAGTATGAAATTTACCAGTTAAAGACTGCAGAGTCTTGCTTGGTCTGCCCATCTTATTAGTACTGGGGGAAGAATTTATAATTTTAAGACCTCCAGGTGTCAAATTCTCTGAACCTGTTTGGCCCCTCGGTGGAAGAGGTGGTGACACCGCGGGAAAAGGAGTCAGGTCCCCTTGAGAAGGCTTCTGTGGTGCAGCAAGTGTCAAGGCTTGGACATTTTCACACATTTCAGCTTTCTCCTCCACAGTGACAGAATTATTATTGCTAGTGCTTAGCTGTGCAAGAGATGTTGTCCGTTTTGGGCGTTGGGGTGGCAATGTGGAAGACATCTGGTCTCCCTGAAATGCTGCAGCACTTTCCCAAATGCGCAGAGTGCTGTGGAAAGAATGATCTGCTAACCCGGCTTCTTGAGAGTAGCCACAGGACACTGGACGTTGTTTTTGAGGATGGGCCACAGGCACAGATGCTTTCCACGGAGTTTCTGGAGACTCCGTAGCTTTCTTTTCATTCTTTTTCCTTATTTCAGACAACTCACAAAGTTTGACTCTGGGCAGGACCATAGGTTTGATAGGTGTTGTCTCAGATTTCTGGGATGTGCCACTGAGTTGTGATTCAGCTGCTGCTAAGCTGATATATGCAGGCTTTTGCTCATGATCTGGGACTTGTGACAGGTGTGAGGACCTGGGCTTGGCACAAGGGGCAGCCTTAGAAGTGGGACCTTGCCGTGGGATGATTTCTGGAGGTTGTACTCGATGCACAGTCTTGGGTTCAGGAGAAGGTGTTGAACTGGCACCAAGATGTTGCCGTAGGCTGATTTCTCCTGAGGGCTTGCTGGATTCATTTTGGAATTTTGCTCGAAGGGTCCTGAAGTCTTCAGCTCTTTCCTAAAATAACCAAGGACAGGCAACCATGAATTGTGACTTGAGCCCAAAAATTCCAAAACAGTTAGTGAACAGAGAATAGTCACAGCGTTGAAGAAGAATCTAATGCAACAGGGTCATGTCCAAACCAAACATGTTCTGGCTGAGGCTGACTAATACACAGAGTGGTTCTTAGCTCTTAACCTAGGTTCTTAACCTTTACCTTGGCTATAAAACAGTCTTCAAGGCATCTAGAGACACTAACATTTAAGGAAAGCTTCCTCCGACTCTCCTCTACAATCCCTCCAAGATTGATGAAGACTGGGTTTCAGATGTCCAAGTTCCCTCCAGGCACCTACAGATGCCAAAATCACAGAGAAGTTTCCCATGACTCTCCTCTACAATCCCTCCAGGTTTGGTGAAGATTGGGGTTTCTGAAGCCAGCTGCTTTCCTGCGGGGAATGCACTTTGTGGGTATATAACTTGGATGTCTGAAACCCAGTCTTCACCAAACTTGGAGATATTGTATAGGAGAGTCAGTAGAAGCTTTTCTGTGGTTCTGGTGTTTCCAGGTGCCTGGGGGAACTTTCCTGGGAAGCCCTCCTTGTGGGTGCAGAACTCAGACATCCGAGACACGAACCTCACCAAACATGCAGGGCTTGTAGAGGAGAATCAGGGAATGCTTCCCTGCAGATTTAGTGTCTCTAGGTGCTTTGGAGGCTGTTTTATAGGGTTTAAAATTAAAAATGAATTTACTAATTGATTCATCAGGAAAAAATTATACATTCATAATTCATGATTTTTTTCAATCTTAATGAACTACAAATCAAAATGAATTACCATTTTTCTGATTCATGCCCATCTCTACTGCAGTCTGGGCTAGATCTCCATCACAGATCTTCAGTCCCCAGTGAGATGCACTCTTCTCCCAACATCACCATGCTTGAGCAATGAAAATAAATATGACAGATAATCCTGTGTCATCAAGTTGCTCCTGATGTATGGTGAATGTAGTAAGCTTTTCAAGGTGTGAAATGGACAAGGAGTAGTTGATCACTGCCACCCTCTGGTCAGCTTTCATGCCTGAGCTGTGATTTGAGCCCAGGTCTCCTGAGTCCTAGTCTGACACACCAGATTGGCTTTAAAGAAATCCTACATTGGCAAATATATTTGAGGAGAAAACTCAACATTCTAAAACTATAAAATGTCTTAGGTAAGCTGTGTCCCAACATATTTTAACTAGGGGGGCCTAGTGGGAATTTGGAGAAGAAATTCTAATAGACCTCCCAAACTGATACCTCAAGCCCTGTTTGTTCTACAATAACCTTGGTACCATCTAAAATACAACACTGTACCTGGTAGTAACTTCAGGATTCAGCCCAGGGAGTCAGATTACACAAGTCAGACACTGTAAAGCATGATAGTGGAAGTGACCGTTTCTGTTCTTGATGTTCCTGTATGTCTTGACCTGCCTCATACACTATGCCCAGAGTGGCTTTGGCTGTCAGATGGGCGGTATATTAAATAAATAAATAAATAAATATTATATATTTTCTTACATGTTTGTGAGGTATACGGAATACCAACCATGCAGATTGGTTCTCTCCAGACAGATTGTATTACTCCGATATAGCTTTTCAGACCAGAAGACTAGAGAGAAGAGACAACTTAGGACAGAAGTCCTATTATGTTTAAAGAAAGATATGGGTACCTTTAATGAGAAGGCAACACAGATGAGCCTTGTCTTGATATTTTATTTAATTTTCTCTAATTGCATCCAGCATATTAAATCCCAAAGTTTATCCCGAATAGCCTCTTTTAGTCAACTCCTTTATTTACACAGTATATACTGTGATGCAAAGCACCTAGGAGATATTTCATTTGCTCTGATTACACTAGAGCAGCCAGCTGTATGATCTCTAAAACCCACCATGCCAGAGTCTTGTCAAAACTGCAATGTATATGCAATTAACATTCCCACAAAGGAAATATGAACAAAACCATTTGATCTGCGTCCAAAATATTGCCCAGAGTTATGACTACAACCAGTGGAAGCCAAGACAAAATAAACACCATTGTTTCTGAAGCATGGGCATAATACCTGTGTGCATATTTTAAAATCAGCTTTAAGCACACATCTCTGTTTATAGTCCTTTACTGTAAACCAGGTGCTCCTTTTATTGTGGAGTTTTTTCATTAGGGCTATGCAGGGTGAAGGCACAGTGAAAGAAGACACATCTGCCAGATTACCACCACCCCTATTAGAAAGGAGAATGTTGTTGCCGCCATTGTTTTTAGGAAAGCTTTGTGATTTTATGTACTAATCCACAGCTGCAATAAAAAATTTGAATCCTCTGTAGACCCCTCTTCCTTTTTTCCATTGGGCACCACAAGCACTGCTGCTTCTCTGTATAGTACATCCATTTAAAAGCTGAATATATTGAGCTCTTTGACTATATTATAACTTATATACAGTGGACCCCCAATTTACAGACGGCTTGACTTACAGACTTTTTGAGTTACAGACTTCTCTGGCCGCAAAATTTAGGTTCAACTTGCAGCCTGAGAATTGACCTACAGACCAGAAAAAAAATGGAACAAAAATGGAACAAAAACGGCCAGTTACGGGATTAATCGGTTTTCAATGCATTGTAGGTCAATGGAGACTCGACCTACAGACTTTTCAACCTGCAGCCACCGTTCCAATATGGATTAATTCTGTAAATAGAGGGTCCACTGTAACGACCTGCAGCCACCGTCCCAATATGGATTAAGTAAGTAGAGGGTGAACTGTAACTACAAACATGTCGCTCCTAGTGGAAACCCACAGACTGAGCACCCAACTGAGAAGTATTTAGATCAGATGTCTTGGGTGGAGGGGAGAGAGGATCTCCTGAGCTACACAAGTGTTATTTTCTTATTCAGTGTAGTTCAGTTGAGTCAGAACTGGGAACTACTAGTTCATATACATTACATTATATAGGCTTACAAAGAAACAGAAACACATCAATCAGCATTCAACAGGCACCTATTACTTATGAATATTAAGATTGCCTCAATGTACAGTATTGGCTACCCCATTAATTCATACAGCTAATGTTTCCTCTTTTTTCTTAACATTTATCTGCTCTTTGGATCCTCATAAGTTATGAAGTCTGTCAGAAACCGATCTCCATATGTATACATTTTCGTGAGTTCCTGGTGCCACTGATCCTGGGCACGATAACCAATGACAATGGCGTTCCTAGATAGAACAGACCCTCATGTAATAGGCTACTCCTTCTTCAGTACATGGTTTCTTCTGACTAGCCTACAGGCCAAGCATTAAGAAATGACTACTCATTCCTACATTGGCTGTTCATCAATCATTAGTAACATACAGAGAAGATTTATGCAGGGAGGGGGAGCAATGCTGAATTTTATTTCATGTTTTCTCTCCCCCAACACACCTCAGTGCAGAATGAGCCATTTTGCAATTCCACTGGTAGTCGTTTAAGTGTTTGTTACTTACTGCCTTGTCAAATACATTTGCTGCTGTTTAAAATCCAATCATTGTTACGTCAGTGACATTTCATTCTTCTTGGGGTTTGCTCTGCATTCATCTGCCTCTTTGTAGCTTTGATCATTTAGACAGCCACTGTGCTGTGGAGGCTACCTCACTGGACCCAACACTGCACAAACATCAGGAGAGGAATGACTAGCCACCCTCCCCCCCCCACCGGTCACATTCTTCACAGCTACAGTTCTGGGTCTGAAGAGAAGAGGTTCTTGCTCACCTGTAGACTTTACACACAAGCAAAAAGCCTGGAAAATCTGGGCTCTTGCTCATGTGTAGAACTTACAGATGAGCAGGGCTATTCTCTTCTTCAGATCTGGCATGGTAACAGAAGGATGCAGTGAGTGAGGAGGGTCAGGCTAGAGGCTTTTCTCTATGTGTGTTCACAATGCTGAGTTGAATAATCCCTGTGTAGGCACCAGAGAGATCCAGTTTGTATCTCCCACTGAGCCATGAAATTTCCCCAGTGACTGTCTCCCTCACCCTCATGAGGAAGGAAGACATCTTGAAATCATTGGAGGAAAGCTGCAATATGAATGCAACAAATAAATTTCTACGTGGCCAGAGATTAGCAGTGAGAGTAGATATGGGATTGTGCCACTTCTGAATCTCAACCAGATTAACCTTTCAGACACCACCGTACTATTCTGACCACAGCTGATTTTAGAAGCCAACCAGGGCCATGCCTGGTTATGGAATTTTTACTGGAAATCACTAGAGAACATTCAGGATCATCAGGTAGGACTGCAAAATAATCCTGCTTGAAACCTTGGAGAGAAGCTGCCAGTCAGAGTTGACAATACTGGACCAGGTGAGGAAAGAGTCTGATGCCATATAAGACAGCCTACTGCTCCTGAAACAAGCTGTGGGCCTTATTCAGCTCCTGATACACCCAAGCATAAGTGCTGGATTCATTTTTAAGGTCTCAAAGTTTGGATAATTTGACCTGTTCTACAACATAACCAGTTGAGGGAAAGGATGAAACTAGTTGCTGGCCCGGCATCTTAATGCTACCAAAGCATAACCTGAAATGGTAAGACTGAGCCCCATGGCACAGTAATTAAACTGCAGTACTACAGCCAAAACACTACTCATGCCCCAAGTTTAATCCCAACAGAGTCAGGTAGCCTCAGGATGAAACTAGTTGCTGGCCCGGCATCTGAATGCTACCAAAGTATAAGCTGAAATGGTAAGACTGAGCCCCATGACACAGGAGATGCCACAGCCCAAGGTTGGTAAAACGAGTAACCAGCTCAAGGTGAAGGGGAAGAGTTCCTTGCTTACATATGTTGTAAACTGCCCAGAGAATGCTGTAAGTACTATGGGGGAATATACAAGTCATAAGGAGGAGGAGGAGGAGGAGAATGTTTGGATAATTGACATTGAAATTCCAGGAGATGCCAGAGTTGAAGATAAAGAACTGGAAAAAGTAACAAAATACAGACACTTAGCAATTGAAACATCTCACTTTTGGATGAAACATACCTCCATGGTCCCCGTAGTCATTGGGGGGTTTGGAACAATATCAAGACATTTCACACAATATTATAAGCAGTTGCGGATATAAGAAATAACACCCTCATAGCTGCAAAAACCAGCAATATTAGGAACAGCATACATACTGCACCAATATTTAACACATACTTGGGGTTTTGGTCAAAACTTGTATCTATTACATAATGTCACTCACTGTTTTTATAATTCTGATTAACTGTGGTATTTTTGAATAATAATTTTCATTCTAGAAATGATGCACATAATCTTCCTGAGATGATTGAAATAAAGGGCACAGCAGCTGGGCCTTTTGATGTCAGTCCTGGTTGATCACGCACCAATATTTAACAGATACTTGGGGTTTGGGTCAAAACTTGTATCTGTTATGTAATGACACTCACTGTTTTTATAATTCTGATCAACTGTGGTATTTTTAAAAAAATAATTTTCATTCTAGAAATGATGCTTTGGGAATGCACATAATCTTCCTGAGATGATTGGAATAAAGGGCATAGCAGTTGGGCCTTTTGATCATGGCCAGATCCTTGGTGCTATTTGTGTGTTTCTGGTTCTTTGTGAAGATCCCATTCCTATGAATGACAAGGCCAGGTCATGGACTAAATAGTGCAATGAGGACAGAACTGCATCCGTGGCAGTCTATAGAGCTGGTGCCCTCTTCCCCCCCACCACCACCACCACATTTTCCCTCCCACTACCAGGGAAAAGTCTCCACCAGATTCATAACATGATAACGGGAAACTGGGTGAGTGAGGGTCTGTAAAAAGCGCAATGGGCACTGTCGTCTTGGACTACTTCTTACAAAGACAATGAAGGGTGTCTGCACAGGGAGTCTGCTGTTTCTTCTTGGTTTCTTTTCCTTTTCCTTTCCCCCATTTCTCATTGTGACATTTGGATGCCAGTGTGCTGCTCCACCCTACTAATGCCTCTGAGTTCTTTGCTTCAACTTGTGGTCTCCTTAGAAACACACAAACACCCTTGATTCAGTTCATTTTTTTAAATATTTGTCTGAAGGCAGAACACACTGCTGATTATTCCTCCCTACCATGTCTTTTGTGAAAAGTAAGGTACCACACAGAAGTTTTGAGAAGAGCAGAAGGTTGTTATCATTGCAGCCAGTCAAGAAGTAGAAGAGTGAATTCTTTATCAATTGTATATATTCATTAAAATTTCTCTCTTTCTTTATCCACAGTTCTCCGGGTGACTCCTCCTTAAGTTCCTTAAAAGCAAGTTCTAAAAAGTTCAACCTAATCAAAATAAACACAGTAATCCAATACATTAAGAACAGGCAACAATCATCAGATGAAGTCAAGTTTTAGCCTGGTGGTAAAACAAAGCCACTTCCTGCTGCGACCAGCCCCCGACCAATGGTATTCCATGGTCAAGAATTTGGGGATCTGTGAGGTTAAACAAGATTTTCTGTGCCTCTTTGTATGTATCTACTCAGAATATAGCTCCATGGAATTCAGGGGACCCTGCTCTCAGGAAAGAAAGTGTAGACTTGCAGTTTAAATGTACTGCCAGGTGCTCATAGAATACTATTCACTTGTCAGTGAAAAAGAAATTACTGTGGAGATCACCAGAATTTAATATCACAGAGCATGTCAGGAACCCAGGCTTTTTTTTAAAATGCTACATTCAAGCAGAACATCATTTAGTTATAAAGGAAAGCTTCATAAACAAAACAGAGATATCACTTTGGCTCTAGATGGACTAAGGGATCAAACTTTGAGTTCTCTCCTCTGAAGCAAATGTCCATGTTTATCATGCCTTTCCCCTGAATCATTCAGGGCTACGTACATGGTTTTCTTCTCTCCTCTGTTTTAACCCTGCACAATATGTCTTGAAAATGTGACAACGTTCACAGTGAGCTCTATGATGGAGTAGGACGTGTCCATTGTAGGAGACTCAGAATGTGAAAGGTTGCCCGATACCACCACCATCCTCAGCCAGCACTGGTCACTGGTTATAATTCACACTCTACATGGGACTACCTCTGGAAAGTGTCAGGAAACTTCAGCAGGTGCAAAACACATCAGCCAGACTGCTAACTTGAGCTGGTTACAGGGATCATATAACCACCCTGTTACAGCAGCTCCACTGGCTGTCAATCTGTTTCCGGGCACAATTCAAAGTGCTGGTTCTAATCTATAAAGCCCTAAATGGTTTAGGTTCAAGCTGTGTCAAGGACTGCCTCTCCCTTTAGGAGCCTGACTAGATGTTAAGATCATCAGGAGAAGCCTTTCTCTTGATCCCCCCACCTTCACAAGCACACTTGTTTGGGGGCACAGGCCTTCTCTGTTGCTGCTCCAAAACTTTGGAACTGCCTCCCACAGGGGGCCAGCCTGGTCCCATCTTTGCTGTCCTTCCAAAAGTAGGCAAATACCTTTCTCTTCGGGCAAGCTTTCCCTTAACAACTGCCTGCCTATGTGGGTCTTTTTTTTTAATGATTTTTGTACTTTACTGCTTTGACTGTGTTTTGTATTGCTTTTGTTTACAATTTTTTACTGTGCTGTTTGTTCTTTTGATATTTTATACTCACTGTGAGCTTTACATGCTGCCTTTTAATTATGTAAGCTGCCTTGAATCTTTATTTAAGAAGAAAGTTGGGGTAAAAATATTTTGCATGCATGCATACATGCATACATGCATAGATGCATACATACATACATACATACATACATAGCTTTATAGGGTATTATCTTAACAGTTTCACTTTGTTAACACCATTAACCTTTGTGATCCTGAAGAGCAGCCTGCTCCATTTATCACTTGTTTAATCAAAGCAGTACTCTGACCCCGGCCGACACAACTGAATGGAATTTTGCTACATGCGTCAGACACCAAGAGTAGAGTTTGATGACACAGGACAGCCAGGAAATATTTACTCATGCTGGCTCCCCTGGGAAATCCACCCAAACCTTCTCAAAAAATCAGAAAAGATGACAAGGAAAGGATTACTCTGGTAGTTTCGCAGTCAAAATAAGAGCAGCTAGAAAAATCCAGGAGAGAGGGGGTAATCTACCAGAACAGTTGGATCAACACTACAGCAACTAGATATGGGATTACTAAGAAATAAATCTCACTGGCCAGAATCCTTTTGGGGGCCTCTAGCCAGAGCAGTCCCATTGAAACAGTGAGATTTACTTCAGTGTTGATTCAACAATTGATTCACTGGCTCTAGGAACAGCATCAGCATATTGACCATGTTCCTTAGTGCATTCAGGACTGCAGCCGTTATAAATGCTGCCAGGGTGCAGGATTTACATCCCTGTTACAATCAAATGTGCCAGGTACCCAGCTCCCACCCATGAAAAGGTAAAGACATTAAGATGATAAGAGCTCTTAACCATACGTATGTGCACTGCTTGTGTCTACTGAGAAGTAACTGTGCAGGTATGTTAAAATCATTATTCTAATTGACTCTAGAAGTCTAAAGTTTAATCCCAGTTGAACTAATAAAATCTACTTAATAGGAACCTTTCTATCTTGCCTTCCCTCTAATGCACTCAAGGCTCTGCACATGTTTCCTTTCCTCTTCATTTTATCCCCTCTGTAACAGGAGAGTCTGAGGGAAGGGGACTGAGCCTCATGAGTTTCATCACTGAGACTCTGCCTCTGATGCTCTAACCACTATACCACATAGGCTCCGGAACGAAATAGCTAAGAATAAGATCCTATTAATTTTTAACTAGCTCCACATAACTACCGGTTCACTTTTTTTTTTTTAGCACTGGAAGACGAGGAAAAACAACTTTGCCAGCCCCGACATTGCACAGCACGTCCCCCCTGCAATTAATAAGAAGAAGCCAAAATCTTGAAAACCATGTTTTGCCTCCTAGCTGGCCAGTTCCTGAAAAGTTAAACTGGTTTCCTGATCACTGAAGTAATTCATGAAAAGTTAAAGCTGTGTTGCAAGTGACTGGAGAAAAACTCTTTTAAACAATGAACAGGGTAAGTGCCCCACAAAGAAAACAGACACAGACACCCCCCAAGAATTGTTTACCATATCCATGTCTCTGCTCCTGTTGTCATACTTCTTTACAAAGTGGTTCTGAGTTCCTCCCCATCGTGAGTGTTTGCTCTCAGAACAGAGGTCCCAGGAACTTCCTCTCTCCACAAGGAGCTCAGAGAAATCCTGCAGCGAGAGGCAGTTAGGCTGACGTTGAAGATTTAAACCTGAGCTCCTCCCTCACCAAACCCTCAGGGCATAAGGAAGCAGACTAGTCTCACCTGTAAATAGCTCTTCCCTGTTTTTGTGGGAGAACCCAACTTGAGTAAAATACACATACATACGCACAAATGAAATGTCAGCTTCTGGAAACTGTTAACACTGGAAAGGGGACACTATAGTTACATGTGAATTTGATGGCTCTGCTGCCTTGGATTGTAAATAAATGAATAAATTAGTCAGAAAATTGGGCAAAAGTCTGTATATTAAAGGGGAAATGTATATATATTTGTCTAGCAGATTCACAGCTAGGTCAATAACATACTGGGAAATAATGCTATTCCTCCTCTGAATTGACCCAGATTCTGCCACAGAATGAATTCTGAAAACAGGTGTGTATGTATGGATATTTGTGGGAGATATAGAACATCACACTTTTATTTCTTATCTACGTAGTAAAGATCTTCTGTTAATAGATTGCCACTTTGCTATAAAACTCCAGCCCAACTACTTCAAGATCTGTTTTCCCAGATTTCTTTTTGGCTTTTTTTAAAAGGAGGTTAAAAAACCCTTCAGGTCACCTCAAAATTAGCAGTAGATTGAGGCAGACTAATTACATTTCACATGTACAGAGACAAAACCAGTTTAACTCCAGTTCATTTTAAAAAGTTAATGTAACAGTTAACTTTCTTCACTGAAACCCATGGAGTTTCAGAGTGCTTGGTTAGGTCAACGTGCCTGATGTTCCTCCATCCACTTTACATGAAAACAAGTACTATACCAGGATTTTCCTACAAAAAGTTGACCCTCCCAAAAGCAACATAACAAGAAAGGAGAGGAATGCTATCAAGTCCCTAAACTCAGATCCAGACATCATCATTCTGCCAGCAGACAAAGGCAACGCCATAGTAATCATGGAAACAGAAGAATACAAGGACAAAATCAGGGAACCTTTGAGAAAACACAACCTACAAACAGTATTCACAAAAATACAAAATACAACACATGTTGCGGTCAGCAAAGGAAAAAAAGGACCCCCTCACCACTTCAGGAGTATACCGGATATCTTGCACTTGTGGCCAGGTATATATTGGAACTACAAAACACAGCATTCACACCAGAATCAAAGAATATGAGAGACACTGCAGACTAAAACAACCAGAAAAATCTGCAGTAGCTGAACATGCCCTAAAACAAGCTGGAAATGAAATTCTGTTTCAAAATCCTGAAGTACTGGACAACAGCAGCAATCATTATTATAGACTGCACAGGGAAGCCATTGAAATCCATAAACATCAGCATAGCTTCAACAAAAAAGAGGAAAGTCTGAAACTGACTAAGGTCTGGCTTCCAGCATTAGGAAATACAGCCTGCAGGTCAACGAACTCTACCCAGCCACAAGGACCAGGGATCATTGTACAAAAAAGACCTGCTAAAGACACCCATCAACCACAGTGACAGATAATCTCTCCCACTTATCACAACAATACATCCACAACAAAAACACGCTGATCACCCTATCTCCTGAAAAGGACAAAAGCTGTTCCCACAGCTATAAATACTCAACTATCCAACAAACAGCAACAGAGCACGGACTGAGTTCCTACTCCAGTTCTCTGAAGATGCCGGCCACAGAGACTGGTGAAATGTCAGGAAGAACAACCTTCAGAACATGGCCAAATAGCCCGAAAAACCCACAACATCTACCAGGATTTTCTTACTTGTTCAAAAATTTGCCTTTAAACCATGAAAAGAATGGAGTTGCCTCCCATTACATTACAATTATGCTGTAGTTCCACTAAACTTTGACCAGGCCAGTTTTAGAGATTTAAAAAAGTTGGTATATGGCATCCAACAGGCAGCAAGACAAGAATACAAAGTTGACAGTGGGAGTAAGGTATAGAAGGGTTTGCCATAGTTGCCATCCTCCCCTGACATTTACAGATTTTTAGGAAAGTGTGAGAAGGACCTGCTGTACCATATTGAATATGGCATCACCTGTGTTGTGATCCAAAACAGCAGATAACTAGTGATGTATTGCTGACAGTTACCACACAGAGCAATTTAAAACAGCTGCAAGATGTCCACAATGTGTAGAACAGCTCTGAGACAACACCCCCATCCTTACCCATGCCATGTTTTTCATCTTTAACAACGGTAAGCCCGAGGAGAGACAGCCATAATCTTTCATCATGTTAGCAGCAATGTTTTCCCTTATATATCTCAAGCTACAACGAGGTCTCCTAAAGCATAAATACAAAGTAAAAATATGTACAGTCATTTCCATAGACCAAAAAAGAAGGTTTTTATTGCCAGACATTTTTCTTCCCAAGTAACATTTTTCATAGTAGGGTGCTATGCGCAGAGTCTGAGCAGGGGAAAGCCCACCTCAAGTTCCCAAGAGCCTTTGGGGCATTTTTAACTTAGTTCAGTTACTGTACCATCACTGCAAGGTTTTAAATTTGTAGAATACTTTGTACAAGTGCTTTTGAAAGAATGTGAAGGTCTTCTATGTGACCCTTTGCTCAATGCAGGACCTCCAACACAGGGTGGTAAGTTATCTGTATTAGATGGATGTGCATTTGAAGGTTGACGAACACTTGGTGGTCCAGATTTTTTGAATGGAGGACACACTCTCCCTAAATGACCAGGTCCTCAATCTGGGCATGCTCTTGGACCTGGCATTCTGCATGGAGAAAAACATTTATGCCATCTACCTTTTTTAATGTTTGGCGGATTGCACAGTTGTGATCCTACCTGGGCAGGAAATCCCTGACCACACGTGTTCATGCACTGGTGGTCTTGAGAATCAATTACTGCCACACTCTTCACACAGGGCTGCCTTTGAAAGTGACATGGAAGTTAAAGCGAGTGCAATATGTGGCTGCCAGACTGATCACTGGAGTTTCTAGATTTGACCTGATCCTAGCAGATCTGCATTGGCTTCCTGTCTGCTTCCATGCCAAATTCAAAGTGCTAGTGTTAACTTATAAAGCCCTAAATGGTTTGGGACCTCAGTACTTGTCAGAGCATCTCTCTGTAAGATCTACTACTGAGCCACCTGATCATCTCATTCAGCATTGCTGCAAGAGGCCCAGAGAATGGACCTTTTCAGTGGTGGCCACAACATTGTGGAATTCACTGCCTGCAAGTGTGCTCCCTCCCTGCTATCATTCAGGAAGCAAGTGAAAATAGTGCTATTTAAAGAGACATTTGGGTCCATTCTCTCTGCATGAGAGAAAATTCAAAACATTTTGTGTAAATTTCAGTTGATTTGTTGTCACCATCCTTGAGGGTTTTTACGTGTTCTTGGTTTATGCTTATGATGCTTGGCTTGTTGTTCTTTTATTGTTATTTTCATCTTCTGCATTTTGTGTTCTGCATTCTGCATTATCTTACATTTATTTAATACGTTCTTCTCTAAGCTGCCCAGAGTAGATGGGTGGGATAAAAGTTCAATTAAAGAAAGAAACAAACAAATTTATTTCCAGCCTCTAGTTCTACGTCAACCTTATGGGGGGACCAAGAACAAACTTTCCTCATCTTTGGCTTAGCAGCTCTTCAGCTATAAGAATACTGGTGTTATGTCTACCCTTTAACTCTTCCCTTCTCCTGGCCAAACATTAAGTAGTTCTTTTAGTTGTTCATAAGAGGAGTTGGTTTCCACACCCTTCTTCATTCTGGTTACACTTTGCAGAACATGAGCTGGTTTGCCGACATTCTCTAAAATCAGTCACCCAGAACTGGTCACAGTTCTTAAGACACAGTTCAAACAATGTTGCACACAGGGCACAGATCCAGATATGAGGTTGCTTGCTTGCCTTTGGATGGGCCATCCAGCCCTACCTGCTTGCTATGCCTAAACCTACAATGACAGAATATGGATGCCACCTGAGCAACTCCCCTCCCCCATGATCCTTTTTCCCCATGATCCCTTAAGCCTTAAGGGGATCCTCACTATACGATGCAGGCACTTAGGCCTCATTCCCATCAAACTGCATCCAGCCCAATGTCCCTTACCATCGCATTCAATAAGGCTGTAACAAGAAGAAAATAAAACACAGAACATTGATCTAGTTAAACCAATGGATTCTTCCTTTTCAGCAACCGCAAATGCTAGACAAAAAAAGAGAGAGCAAAGGATGCAGATTAGCTGGTGCAGAGGAATAAGCATTGCTGCTTTCAATAGGACAAGAGAAAGACTTTTTCAGCCAGGATGCATCCAATTGGCTGGCAGGGCTGCCTTCTCCTACACAGGCCAAGGGCTTCCAGGTTTCCCAAGAAGTCACCAGGAACCCTCAAAAGATGGCACTCAAGATTTCATCCATCCCTTCTAGCAACAGGATGCAAAATGGGACCTGTCAGGGGCTTATGATAAGTTTATGGGACACTGGATACTCTGGGCCTACTGAAGCAGCTAAACACGTTCCCTTTTGTACTCACCTCTTCTACTTAGCAAATGGGCCACACATTCTACAGATGAGAGGATGAAGTTAGCATATTCTTGGCTGATTTAAACTGTTGTTGGGGAAAAGTGGCCTGCAGGATCATAAGTGAACTGTAACGTGGGCTGCTTACCTCCCCCCTCCCAGAAATGGTACTCAAGTCTCTGATGGATGAAACCCACAGATGGGGAGTCATTTGTCAAGAAGCTTTGTGGTTTTGGACCCCAATTTATTGCCTCTTTGCAGCTGTACTTCTCTCTCAACAACAGGTCTGTTTTCTCCACTGGAAGCAGCTGTTGTTTTGTTTTTCTCACATCAGTACTGCTGTTTTCAGAGAAAACACAGCAAGGAGACTGAGCAAGGCATCAGGGCTAGTTCCCGGTGCAGCCCTATCTGACAGCTCCAACTTAACCGAGCAGAAGAATTTATTGAATCTCGTCCCAACTCCACTTCCACTGTGTTCACAAGTGATTTCTTTCAAAATGCCAAACCAGGAGTTCAGCAGCTACCATGTCTCAATCCCAGTATGGGTTCAAACCAATCCAGCTTT